TACATGCACCCAACATAGGAGCACCTCAATACATAAGGCAACTGCTAACAACTATAAAAGAGGAAATCGACAGTAACACAATAATAGTGGGGGACTTTGACACCTCACTTAAACCAATGGACAGATCATCCAAAATGAAAATAAATAACGAAACACATGCTTTAAATGACACAATAGACCAGATAGATTTAATTGCTCTTTATAGGACATTCCATCCAAAAACAGCAGATTACACTTTCTTCTCATGTGTGCATAGAACATTCTCCAGGATAGATCACATCTTGGGTCACAAATAAAGCCTCAGTAAATTTAAGAAAACTGAAATCATATCAAGCATCTTTTCTGACCACAATGCTATGAGATTAGAAATGAATTACAGGGAAAAAGTCATAAAAAACACAAACATGGAGGCTGAACAATATGTTACTAAATAACCAACAGATCACTGAAGAAATCAAAAAGGAAATCAAAAAATACCTAAAGACAAATGATAATGAAAACACAATGATCCAAAACCTATGGGATGCAGCAAAAGCAGTTCTAAGAGGGAAGTTTATAGCTATACAAGCCTACCTCAAGAAACAAGAAAAATCTCAAATAAACAATCTAACCTTACACCTAAAGAAACTAGAGAAAGAAGAACAAACAAAACCCAAAGTTAGCAGAAGGAAAGAAATCATAAAGATCAGAGCAGAAATAAATGAAATAGAAACAAAGAAAACAATAGCAAAGATCAATAAAACTAAAAGCTGGTTCTTTGAGAAGATAAACAAAATTGATAAACCATTAGCCAGACTCATCAAGAAAAAGAGGGAGAGGACTCAAATCAATAAAATTAGAAATGAAAAAGAAGTTACAACAGACACCAAAGAAATACAAAGCATCCTAAGAGACTACTACAAGCAGCTCTATGACAATAACGTGGACAACCTGGAAGAAATGGGCAAATTCTTAGAAAGGTATAACCTTCCAAGACTGAACCAAGAAGAAATAGAAAATATAAACAGACCAATCACAAGCACTGAAATTGAAACTGTGATTAAAAATCTTCCAACAAGCAAAAGTCCAGGACCAGATGGCTTCACAGGTGAATTCTATCAAACATTTAGAGAAGACCTAACACCCATCCTTCTCAAACTCTTCCAAAAAATTGCAGAGGAAGGAACACTCCTAAATTCATTCTATGAGGCCACCATCACCCTGATACCAAAACCAGAGAAAGATACTACAAAAAAAAGAAAATTACAGACCAATATCACTGATGAATATAGATGCAAAAATCCTCAACAAAATACCAGCAAACAGAATCCAACAACACATTAAAAGGATCATACACCATGTTCAAGTGGGATTTATCCCAGGGATGCAAGGATTCTTCAATATATGTAAATCAGTCAATGTGATACACCATATTAACAAATTGAAGGAGAAAAACCATATGATCACCTCAATAGATGCAGAAAAAGCTTTTGACAAAATTCAACACTCATTTGTGATAAAAACTCTCCAGAAAATGGGCATAGAGGGAACCTACTTCAACATAATAAAGGCCATATACGACAAACCCACAGCAAACATCATTCTGAATGGTGAAAAACTGAAAGCATTTCCTCTAAGATCAGGAACAAGACGAGGATGTCCACTCTCACCGCTATTATTCAACATAGTTTTGGAAGTCCTAGTGTCGGCAATCAGAGAAGAAAAAGAAATAAAAGGAATACAAATTGGAAAAGAAGAAGTAAAACTGTTACTGTTTGCAGATGACATGATACTATACATAGAGAATCCTAAAGATGCCACCAGAAAACTACTAGAGCCAATCAATGAATTTGGTAAAGTTGCAGGATACAAAATTAATGCACAGAAATCTCTCGCATTCCTATACACTAATGATGAAAAATCTGAAAGAGAAATTAAGGAAACACTCCCATTTACCACTGCAACAAAAAGCATAAAACACCTAGGAATAAACCTACCTAGGGAGACAAAAGACCTGTATGCAGAAAACTATAAGACACTGATGAAAGAAATTAAAGATGATACCAACAGATGGAGAGATATACCATGTTCTTGGATTGGAAGAATCAACATTGTGAAAATGAGTATATTACCCAAAGCAATCTGCAGATTCAATGCAATCCCTATCAAATTACCAATGGCATTTTTTATGGAACTAGAACAAAAAAATCTTAAAATTTGTATGGAGACACAAAAGACTCCAAATAGCCAAAGCAGTCTTGAGGGAAAAAAACGGAGCTGGAGGAATCAGACTCCCTGACTTCAGACTATACTACAAAGCTACAGTAATCAAGACAATATGGTACTGGCACAAAAACAGAAATACAGATCAATGGAACAAGATAGAAAGCCCAGAGAGAAACCCACACACCTATGGTCAACTAATCTATGACAAAGGAGGCAAGGATATACAATGGAGAAAAGACAGCCTCTTCAATAAGTGGTGCTGGGAAAACTGGACAGCTACATGTAAAAGAATGAAATTAGAACACTCCCTAACACCATGCACAAAAATAAACTCAAAATGGATTAGAGACCTAAATGTAAGACCGGACACTATAAAACTCTTAGAGGAAAACACAGGAAGAACACTCTTGGACATAAATCACAGCAAGATCTTTTTTGATCCACCTCCTAGAGTAATGGATATAAAAATAAAAATAAACAAATGGAACCTAACGATACTACAAAGTTTTTGCACAGCAAAGGAAACCATAAACAAGACAAAAAGACAGCCTTCAGAATGGGAGAAAATATTTGCAAACGAACCAACGGACAAAGGATTAATCTCCAATATATATAAACAGGGCTTCCCTGGTGGTGCAATGGTTGAGAGTCTGCCTGCCGATGCAGGGGACACGGGTTCGTGCCCCGGTCCGGGAAAATCCCACATGCTGCGGAGCGGCTAGGCCCATGAGCCATGGCCGCTAAGCCTGCGCGTCCGGAGCCTGTGCTCCACAACAGGAGAGGCCACAACAGTGAGAGGCCCGCATACCGCAAAAAAAAAAAACAAAAAAAACTAAAAATAGAATTACCATATTATCCAGCAATACCACTACTGGGCATATACCCAGGGAAAACCATAATTCAAAAAGACACATGCACCTCAATGTTCATTGCAGTACTATTTACAATAGCCAGGTCATGGAAGCAACCTAAATGCCCATCGACAGACGAATGGATAAAGAAGATGTGGTATATATATACAATGGAATATTACTCAGCCATAAAAAGGAACAAAATTGGGTAATTTGTTGAGCCATGGATGGATCTAGAGACTGTCATACAGAGTGAAGTGAGTCAGAAAGAGAAAAACAAATATTGTATATTAACGCATATATGTGGAACCTAGAAAAATGGTACAGATGAACTGGTTTGCAGGGCAGAAATTGAGACACAGATGTAGAGAACAAACGTATGGACACCAAGGGGGGAAAGTGGCAGGGGGGTGGGGGTGGTGGTGTGATGAACTGGGTGATTGGGATTGACATGTATACTCTGATGTGTATAAAATTGATGACTAATAAGAACCTGCTATATAAAAAAATAAAATAAAATTCAAAAATTAAAAAAAAAATTATATGCCAATTAGATAACTTAGTTGAAATGGACAAATTCCTAGAAAGACAGAAATTTTAGAAAGAGAAGAACAAATAATCTGAATATAGTAAGTAAAGACACGGAATTTATTATCAAAAAACTACCCACAAAGAAAAGCTCAGGCCCGCCCAGATGCCTTCATTGGTGAATTCTAGCAAACATTTCAAGAAGAATTAATACCAGTTCTTCACTAATTCTTCCCAAGAAAGATGAGGGAAACTCCCCAACTCATTCTGAGGCCAGTATTATCCTGATAACAAAACCAATAAAAATATCACAAGAAAAGAAAACTGAAGACCAATATCTCATGTGAACACAGACACAAAAACGCTCAACAAAATACTAGAAACATGACTCTAGCAACATATAAGAAGCAGTATACACCATGACCAAGTGGGATTTATCTCAGGAATACAAGGATGATTTAACATCCAAAAACCAATTAATGCAACACACCATATCCACAGAATAAAAAACGAAAACTACATGATCATCTAAATAGAAAGCATTTGACAAACCCAACACCTTTTCATGATAAAAACACTTAGCAGGGCTTCCCTGCTGGCGCAGTGCTTAAGAATCCGCCTGTCAATGCAGGGGACACAGGTTTGAGCCCTGATCCAGGAAGATCCCACAAGCCACAGAGCAACTAAGCCTGTGCACCACAACTACTGAGCCTGCGCTCTAGAGCCCGCGAGCCACAACTACTGAGTCCACACGCCACACCTACTGAAGCCTGCGTGCCTAGAGCCCATGCTCCACAATAAGAGAAGCCACCGCAACGAGAAGCCTGTGCACCGCAACGAAGAGTAGCCCCCGCTCTCCGTAACTAGAGAAAGCCCGCGCGCAGCAATGAACACCCAATGCAGCCAAAAATAAACAAATAAATAAATTTTTTAAAAAGTAGAAACAACCTATCAGGTGGTGAATAGATAAACAAAATGTGGTATAGCCATACAATGGAATACTATTCAGTCTTATAAAAGAATGAAGTACATGACATGCCCTACAACATGGATGAATCTTGAAAACATACGCTAAATGAAAGATATCAGTCACAAAAGACCACATAGTTCTGCACAACTCTATTTAAATGAAATGTTCAGAATAGGCAGATATAGAGACAGAAATATTAGTGGTTGCTTAGGGGTGAAAGGCCTATAGGACAATGGGGAGTGACAGTGAGTACAGGGTTTCTTTTCGGGATAATTAAATGTTCTAACATTGATGTGGTGATGGTTGTACAACTCTGTGAACATATTAAAAACCACTGAATTATATACTTAAAATGGGTAAAATGTATGGTATGTTAATTATATTTCAAAAGGCCATTAAAAAAATTCCATAGCATAAGCAGCTGACACAGCTAATAGGACACTCACCTCTCTTTCCAGTTCATCCTCCTCTTCCAAAATATCATACACCTGCTCTAAAAGCTGAATCCCCAGGCCCCGAATTACATCAGCTCTCAAGACTTCAACTATTCTTCTGAGTTTTTCAGAACCTGGCACGATAGCTAAAAAGCAATAACAACAACAGGGAAAAAGTAAACACTTTCACCACTGCAGCAAGAAGAACACAATTTTTTTTTCTTTTTTTTTCCTGGTAATCTTGTCATGTTAAGATTCTTTTCACTTTGACAAGAGTTTAGTTTAAGAGTTCATGTTTTGTTTTGTTTTTTTTGCGGCACGCGGGCCTCTCACTGCTGTGGCCTCTCCCGTTGCGGAGCACAGGCTCTGGACGCGCAGGCTCAGCAGCCATGGCTCACGAGCCCAGCCGCTCTGCGGCATGTGGGATCTTCCCGGACCGGGGCACAAACCCGTGTCCCCTGCATCGGCAGGCGGACTCTCAACCACTGTGCCATCAGGGAAGCCCAAGAGTTAATGTATTTTTAATGACTAAAATGTATATATGAACTTACGCTTCATGTCTCATCACCATCTCCTAAATCTAAAAACTACAAATTGTCTAATTTGAAGAAAGTCCACATGAAAAATTCCAAACATGTATTTATTTACATTTATTTTTAAAAATCAATTTTCATTCAACTTTTCAGGAATGCAACTGTTACATAAAATAAGATATATTTTTTTATGAAGATATCCAAATGAAATAATTTAAAAAACCAAAAATATTTGCAAGCATTAAGCTCCTTAGTTTGATACATTTCTCCAGTAAACATATGCTCTCCAGCTTGGTGTAAAACAATAAACTGACCACCTGAAGGTAGCTCTTTAAAACGGAGTTCCTCCGCCTCCTCTGCAACTTTCCCATGAAGTATCAGTGTGTCCCGATACTTTCGATGAAGTTTAAATTCTGACACTGGCTCTGGTACCGGGAGATCTTCATAGCTCTCTTTAGAGTCCAAATTCAGGGTCTGTGTCATCAATTGTACCAAGTCACTCATTTCATTTGTATGACCTTTCCTGGAAAAGAAAAAATTCTCTTGTTATTAATTGGCTTCATGAGAATTTTTCATTAGAAATTAGATACAAAACAACCTTTAGGAAGTTCTGCTTTCTAGTAAGCAAGTAAGTTCCTACAGAAAGAACCCTTCCACAAATAAGTATAAACTTTGGACAAAATACAAAAATCAACTATGTGAGGGCAATGAAGAATGTACAAAATTTGCAAGCAGATTCTGGAGGAGAGTCAACACCTTTAGCCTAAAGGCAAGCCATAGGCAGCTGAAGTACAACAGAAAACCCACAGTCTTTCTTGCCTGAAAAACCAAAGGACAGAGTTCGAGACCACCACTGCCAGCAGAAAGTGAAAGAAGAATCTTGGAAAGGAGAGAGCGAGAAAGACAAGGTCCCAGGTTTTGCGTATAAATTCCGCCCAACTATTTCTAAGTAACTTAACTATATCCAAGTACAAAGTTCAAGAATATTTAAAGAAATATAAAAATATCAGCAATTAATGGGATAAAATTGACAATGTCTGGCATCACGTCAAAAATACCAGGCATGAGGGCTTCCCTGGTGGCGCAGTGGTTGAGAGTCCGCCTGCCGATGCAGGGGCGTGGGTTTGTGACCCGGTCCGGGAAGATCCCACATGCCGCGGAGCGGCTGGGCCTCTGAGCCATGGCTGCTGGGCCTGCGCGTCCGGAGCCTGTACTCCGCAACGGGAGAGGCCACAACAGTGAGAGGCCCGCGTACCGTAAAAAAAAAAAAAAAAAAAAAAAAAATAGCAGAAATGCAAAGCAGGAAAATAGCACACAATTATGAAGAGAAAAAAATAAGTTAATAGAAATAGATCCAGAAGTAATACAAGTGACAGAATTAGTAAATAAGGACATTAAAATGGTTATTAAACATATATTCCATATGACCAAGGTAAAGGAAACACCAACATGTTAAGGAGAGGCAATGAAGATATAAAAAGGACCCAAATTGAACTACAAATGATAAGTACAATGTGTTGAATATGTGGGATGGGATTAACAAATTAGATACTGCAGGAGAAAAGATTAGTGAACTCAAAGATACAGCAATAGAATCTACAAAAAAATGGAACAGATGGGAATTCCCTGGCAGTCTTGTGGTTAGGACTCCATGCTTTCACTGCCGAGGGCATGGGTTCATTCCCTGGTCGGGGAACTAAGATCCCACAAGCCACACCGTGTGGCCAGAAAAAAAAAAAAAAGGAACAGAGAAAAAAAGGCTAAAGAAAAAAAAGAATATGATTAGTGACCTGTGGGATAACTTTAAGCAATCTAATATACATGTAATCAGAATCCTTAGGAGGGCAGGAGGGGGTCCAAAAAAATACTTGAAGAAATAATGGCGAAAATGTTTCCACCAATGAAAACTATAAACCCACAGATCTAAGAAGACATTTTATAAGAATTCTGAATGAAAATCAGATGTGTTCATTAAAAGAGAATTTTAGCTCTTGCATATACCAAAAACCATTTACAATGTTATCAATGACAGTACTACAGGTCTGAATGCTACTATAAATGTACATTTAAAATTAATTCATAAACAAATGGGACCTAATCAAGCTTATAAGCTTTTGCACAGCAACAGAAACCATAAAAAAAAATGAAAAGATAACCTACAGACTGGGAGAAAATATTTGCAAACTATGCAACTGACAAGGGATTAATTTCCAAAATATAAAAACAGCTCATACAATTCAATAACAACAACATAAAACAACCCAATCAAAAAATGGGCAGAAGACCTAAATAGACATTTCTCCAAAGAAGACACAAAGATGGCCAATAGGCACAAGAAAAGATGTTCAACATCACTAATTATTAGAGAAATGCAAATCAAAACTACAATGAGGTACCACCTCACACGGGTCAGAATGGCCATCATTAAAAAGTCTACAAATAATAAATGCTGGAAATCCAAAGAGAAACACGCCAAGACACATATTAATCAAACTGTCAAAAATTAAATACAAAGAAAACATATTAAAAGCAGCAAGGGAAAAACAACAAATAACACACAAGGGAATCCCCATAAGGTTAACAGCTGATCTTTCAGCAGAAACTCTGCAAGCCAGAAGGGAATGGCAGGACATATTTAAAGTGATGAAGGAGAAAAACCTACAACCAAGATTACTCTACCCAGCAAGGATCTCATTCAGATTTGATGGAGAAATTAAAACCTTTACAGACAAGCAAAAGCTGAGAGAGTTCAGCACCACCAAACCAGCTTTACAACAAATGCTAAAGGAACTTCTCTAGGCAAGAAACACAAGAGAAGGAAAAGACCGACAATAACAAACCCAAAACAATTAAGAAAATGGGAATACGAACAAACATATCGATAATTACCTTAAATGTAAATGGATTAAATGCTCCCACCAAAAGACACAGACTGGCTGAATGCATACAAAAACAAGACCCATATATATGCTGTCTACAAGAGACCCACTTCAGACCTAGAGACACATACAGACTGAAAGTAAGGGGATGGAAAAAGATATTCCATGCAAATGGAAACCAAAAGAAATCTGGAGTAGCAATTCTCATATCAGACAAAATAGACTTTAAAATAAAGACTATTACAAGAGACAAAGAAGGACACTACATAATGATCAAGGGATCGATCTAAGAAGAAGATATAACAATTGTAAATATTTATGCACCCAACCTAGGAGCACCTCAATACATAAGGCAAATACTAACAGCCATAAGAGGGGAAATTGACAGTAACACATTCATAGTAGGGGACTTTAACACCCCACTTTCACCAATGGACAGATCATCCAAAATGAAAATACATAAGGAAACACAAGCTTTAAATGATACATTAAACAAGATGGACTTAATTGATATTTATAGGACATTCCATCCAAAAACAACAGAATACACATTTTTCTCAAGTGCTCATGGAACATTCTCCAGGATAGATCATATCTTGGGTCACAAATCAAGCCTTGGTAAATTTAAGAAAATTGAAATTGTATCAAGTATCTTTTCCGACCACAACGCTATGAGACTAGATATCAATTACAGGAAAAGATCTGTAAAAAATACAAACACATGGAGGCTAAACAATACACTACTTAATAACGAAGTGATCACTGAAGAAATCAAAGAGGAAATTAAAAAATACCTAGAAACAAATGACAATGGAGACAGGACGACCCAAAACCTATGGGATGCAATAAAAGCAGTTCTAAGAGGGAAGTTTATAGCAATACAATCCTACCTTAAGAAACAGGAAACATCTCGAATAAACAACCTAACCTTGCACCTAAGCAATTAGAGAAAGAAGAACAAAAAAACCCCAAAGTTAGCAGAAGGAAAGAAATCAGAAAAATCAGATCAGAAATAAATGAAAAAGAAATGAAGGAAACGATAGCAAAGATCAATAAAACTAAAAGCTGGTTCTTTGAGAAGATAAACAAAATTGATACACCATTAGCCAGACTCATCAAGAAAAAAAGGGAGAAGACTCAAATCAATAGAATTAGAAATGAAAAAGGAGAAGTAACAACTGACACTGCAGAAACACAAAAGATCATGAGAGATTACTACAAGCAACTCTATGCCAATAAAATGGACAACCTAGAAGAAATGGACAAATTCTTAGAAATGCACAACCTGTCAAGACTGAATCAGGAAGAAATAGAAAATATGAACAGACCAATCACAAGCACTGAAATTGAAAGTGTGATTAAAAATCTTCCAACAAACAAAAGCCCAGGACCAGATGGCTTCACAGGCGAATTCTATCAAACATTTAGAGAAGAGCTAACACCTATCCTTCTCAAACTCTTCCAAAATATAGCAGAGGGAGGAACACTCCCAAACTCATTCTACAAGGCCACCATCACCCTGATACCAAAACCAGACAAGGATGTAACAAAGAAAGAAAACTACAGGCCAATATCACTGATGAACATAGATGCAAAAATCCTCAACAAAATACTAGCAAACAGAATCCAACAGCATAGTAAAAGGATCATACACCATGATCAAGTGGAGTTTATTCCAGGAATGCAAGGATTCTTCAATATATGCAAATCAATCAACATGATACACCATATTAACAAACTAAAGGAGAAAAACCATATGATCATCTCAATAGATGCAGAGAAAGCTTTCAACAAAATTCAACACCCATTTATGATAAAAACCCTGAAGAAAGTAGGCATAGATGGAACTTTCCTCAACATAATAAAGGCCATATATGACAAACCCACAGCCAACATCGTCCTCAATGGTGAAAAACTGAAAGCATTTCCACTGAGATCAGGAACAAGACAAGGTTGCCCACTCTCACCACTCTTATTCAACATAGTTTTGGAAGTTTTAGCCACAGCAATCAGAGAAGAAAAGGAAATAAAAGGAATACAAATCGGAAAAGAAGTAAAGCTGTCACTCTTTGCAGATGACATGATACTGTACATAGAGAATCCTAAAGATGCCACCAGAAAACTACTAGAGCCAATCAATGAACTTGGTAAAGTAGCAGGATACAAAATTAATGCACAGAAATCTCTGGCATTCCTATACACTAACAATGAAAAATCTGAAAGTGAAATCAAGAAAACACTCCCATTTACCATTGCAACAAAAAGAATAAAATATCTAGGAATAAACCTACCTAAGGAGACAAAAGACCTGTACGCAGAAAATTATAAGACACTGATGAAAGAACTTAAAGATGATACAAATAGATGGAGAGATATACCATGTTCTTGAATTGGAAGAATCAACATTGTGAAAATGACTCTGCTACCCAAAGCAATCTACAGATTCAATGCAACCCCTATCAAACTACCACTGGCATTTTTCAGAGAACTATAACAAAAAATTTCACAATTTGTATGGAAACACAAAAGACCCCGAATAGCCAAAGCAATCTTTTTTTTTTTTTTTTTTTTTGCGGTATGCGGCCTCTCACTGTTGTGGCCTCTCCCGTTGCGGAGCACAGGCTCCAGACGCGCAGGCTCCGGACGCGCAGGCTCAGTGGTCATGGCTCACGGGCCCAGCCGCTCCGTGGCATGTGGGATCTTCCTGGACTGGGGCACGAACCCGTGTCCCCTGCATCGGTAGGCGGACTCTCAACCAGTGTGCCACCAGGGAAGCCCTGGCCGAAGCAATCTTGAGAATGAAAAACGGAGCTGGAGGAATCAGGCTCCCTGACTTCAGACTATACTACAAAGCTACAGTAATCAAGACAGTATGGTACTGGCACAAAAACAGAAAGACAGATCAATGGAACAGGATAGAAAGCCCAGAGATAAACCCACACACATATGGTCACCTTATCTTTGATAAAGGAGGCAGGAATGTACAGTGGAAAAAGGACAGCCTCTTCAATAAGTGGTGCTGGGAAAACTGGACAGGTACATGTAAAAGTATGAGATTAGATCACTCCCTAACACTATACACAAAAATAAGCTCAAAATGGGTTAAAGACCTAAATGTAAGGCCAGAAACTATCAAACTCTTAGAGGAAAACATAGGCAGAACACTCTGACATAAATCACAGCAAGATCCTTTTTGACCCACCTCCTAGAGAAATGGAAATAAAAACAAAAATAAACAAATGGGACCTAATGAAACTCAAAAGCTTTTGCACAGCAAAGGAAACCATAAACAAGACCAAAAGACAACCCTCAGAATGGGAGAAAATATTTGCAAATGAAGCAACTGACAAAGGATTAATTTCTGAAATTTATAAGCAGCACATGCAGCTCAATAACAAAAAAATAAACAACCCAATCCAAAAACAGGCAGAAGACCTAAACAGTCATTTCTCCAAAGAAGATATACAGACTGCCAACAAACACATGAAAGAATGCTCAACATCATTAATCATTAGAGAAATTCAAATCAAAAGTACAATGAGATATCATCTCACACCAGTCAGAATGGCCATCATCAAAAAATCTAGAAACAATAAATGCTGGAGAGGATGTGGAGAAAAGGGAACACTCTTGCACTGCTGGTGGGAACGTGAATTGGTACAGCCACTATGGAGAACAGTATGGAGGTTCCTTAAAAAACTAAAAATAGAACTACCATATGACCCAGCAATTCCACTACTGGGCATATACCCTGAGAAAACCATAATTCAAAAAGAGTCATGTACCAAAATGTTCATTGCAGCTCTATTTACAGTAGCCTGGAGATGGAAACAACCTAAGCATCCATCATCAGATGAATGGATAAAGAAGATGTGGCACATTTATACAATGGAATATTACTCAGCCATAAAAAGAAACGAAATTGAGCTATTTGTAATGAGGTGGATGGACCTAGAGTCTGTCATACAGAGTGAAGTAAGTCAGAAAGAGAAAGACAAATACCGTATGCTAACATATATATATGGAATTTAAGAAAAAAAAATGTCATGAAGAACCTAGGGGTAAGACAGGACTAAAGACACAGACCTACTAGAGAATGGACTTGAGGATATGGGGAGGGGGAAGGATAAGCTGTGACAAAGCGAGAGAGTGGCATGGACACATATACACTACCAAACGTAAAACAGATAGCTAGTGGGAAGCAGCCGCATAGCACAGGGAGATCAGCTTGGTGCTTTGTGACCACCTAGAGGGGTGGGATAGGGAGTGGGGGAGGGAGGGAGATGCAAGAGGGAAGAGATATGGGAACATATGTATATGTATAACTGATTCACTTTGATATAAAGCAGAAACTAACACACCAATGTAAAGTAATTATACTCCAATAAAGATTAAAAAAAAAAAAGGAAAATTGTGTTAGCAACATAAATGGAGAAACAGCAAAAAAAAAAAAAAATGCTGGAGAGGATGTGGAGAAAAGGGAACCCTCTTACACTGTTGGTGGGAATGTAAATTGGTGCAGCCATTATGGAAAACAGTATGGAGGTTCCTCAGAAAACTAAAAACAGAGTTGCCATGTGATTCAGCAATTCCACTCCTAGGCATATACCCAGACAAAACTATAATTCGAAAAGATACATGCACCCCTATGTTCATAGCAGCACTGTCTACAATAACTAAGACATGGAAACAACCTAAATGTCCATTGACAGATGAATGGATAAAGATGTGAGATAGACAGATAGATACACATACACACACATACATATATATACACATACATACAATGGACTATTACTCAGCCACTAAAAATAATGAAATCATGCCATTCGCAGCAACATGGATGGACCTAGAGGTTATCATACTAAGCAAAGTAAGTCAGAAAGAGAAAGACAAATACCATATGATATCACTTATTTGTGAAATCTAAAGTATGACACAAACAGACATATCTGTGAAACAGAAAGAGACTCAAAGACATGGGAACAGACTTGTGGTTTCCAAGGGGGTTGGGGGTGGGGGAGGGAAGTATTGGGAGTGTGGGATCAGCAGATGCAAACTATTATTTATATGACAGATAAACAGCAAGGTCTTAACTGTATAGCACAGGGAACTCTATTCAATATCCTGTGATAAACCATAATGGAAGAGAATATGAAAAAGAATATATGTATAACTGAGTCAGTTTGCTGTACAGCAGAAATTAATACAACATTGTAAATCAACTATACTTCAATAAAATTTTTAAAGTAAAAAAATAAAATTAAATTAGAATAAAATTAATTCAAACAGAAATAGCTTATGAAAGGAGATAGAAAAATAAGAACTTACCCTTCTTTGGCATCCCCATTTGATTTATCAGTTGAACTTGCAGAAGAACTTAACTCATCCTCAGAGAGACAATGGGTGAGTTTCTTTTCCTATTAATGTTTGGAAATACAAAATTCCACATGACAACACAACCAGAATATAATACATGAAACAATCTTAGATGCAATGCCTAGACACAATGTGCACCCAGGTCCAATTTAACAGGAGAACTATGAATATAAAAATTGAAGTTACTTTACCAAATAATGTCCCAGTTCACCCATGAAGTTCATAAGTGAAGCCTGAGGAACATCAAGGTGAAGTTTTATAAGGTCCTGGAAAGTCTCAGCTATGAAGAAATTTCCTTTTCAGAGGAGAGCAGACAAACAGTTCTGGTGTTTGAACTTCTAAGCAGAGGGCTGGTACCATAAGGAATGTTGGCATTTTAAACTAGACAGAATGCCACCTAAATAAAAAGTAACCTCAGTTTGCTCACTCATGATACTCATTGTTAAATGCTTTAAAGGATTACCTGATATAATTACACACAAATGTTACAACTTTTGAAAATAAAGAGCATCATTTTAATTAGTGAAGCAACTAAATCACACACTACTGTTAAAGGAAAAAAATCTTCATTACTTTCAAGGGCAGGAAGTTTCTTTTTTAAAAAAAGTAATTATATGCTCCTAGAAATGTCAAAAACTGGAATACAGAAAACTGAATAATTATTCCCAGGGTATTATTACACAAAAAAGTGAACGTGGTTAAAAACTTGCAATTATCCATTTACCCACCAAATGGTGCCCCTACATTATCCCTGGGTGGAAAGGTAAGGTACTTTGACACAAACAGGAAACAAAGGAAGGATCAGCAAGTGAGACTAAAATCTGGCCAGGTCGTTTGGTATATTATTAACACAGCAGAATAAGCAAAGTGTTGCCTAGTGGAAGCCCTTTGGAAGTCTTGTTTAAAAGACTGCCTAAGAAAGATATTAACTAGGCTGTCAGTTGTTTACAAGAGCACCTGAAAAGTCCATCCCCTTAATGAAGGAAACAAAATCCTTTTAATTATTATTGACCAGTTCTTTTTCTTATCAGAGAAGTGTGAAAAGTGTAACTTAAGTCAGCACTATCCCAGGAATAAATAGAGCTGGCATTTATGAGGTTTACCGTTATTAGGCTTGCCAGATGTAGACATGTCTACCTTTTACCTTAGGACTATGTAATGTACCTGAGCAACGCTGTAGTCAGAAGACAACCATTGAGCAGGGGTAGGGTGGCCTTCCTCTTGTGGTTTCCCTGGCCCCGCTGGACTCAGAGAAACTCTCCTCAGTGAAGGGCCTGAAAAAGTGACAACCCGCAGCAGTTGTTTATGGTGGGCTGGCCTCAATAGAAGAGGGCTTTGCAGTTTATGGAAGATACCCCAGCAAGGGCCAGCCTAGAAGGAACTCAGACAGCATATTCATCATCACTCTGGTGTCTGACACCTCAGTTCAAATCTCAGGTCTAGGTCTACCAGCCCTGTGACCTTGGGCAAGTTACTTAACCCCTCTGACCCTCAGTCTCCTCCGCTGCAAAATATGAAATGAGATAATGCCCTTAAAATACTTAGCATAATGTTTGAGACATTGTCAGCATTCAATAAATGGAAACTGCTAGAATATGTTGTCTTTAGATAATAGTAATAGGAATGATCACAGCCCTCAGCCCAGGGCAGTACCATTCTCCTGGCTTCCTCTCTCTGTTCCTGAGAAGAGAGCACTTCTCTGACCAACAGACTCGGAACATGGAAACAAAGTAAACACTCGCCTGACTGCTTTCCTGTCTGAAATCTCCCAGGAGTTACTGTCACTCAAAGCTCTCTTGCTCTCTTTTTAGAGTCCTCTTTCTCTAATAACACAAGTTCCAGATCCAATACTATGCCAATTTTTTAAAAGGCTTGACTAGGAAATTTCAAAAATTCTTCTAAATTGGTTTCCCAAATGGATTACTGATGCTGGAAATTCTTAACACCTCACAATCAGTACCAATGCTATGTCCATGAGCCATACCAATAACCTCCAATAGATGAAGGAAAGAGAAAAACTTTACCTGAGGGGAAGATCTCTTCCTGTGACTGCTTTAGTCGCCTCCTCTCTCTTGCTGATAATGGGCGGTCCTTTTAAAGAAAGTCAGTTACTTCCATTCCTATTCACTGTTCTTACAATACTACAATGCATGACATATCATCCAGCACTACAGGAAAGGCCCTGCACAGGTCTTTAAGGGAGTGTCCATTTGAAACCAGTTCACATCAGGCTTACAACTCCTAGCTAGGATGATCACAGCCCTCATTTCTAGGAAGAGCTCATCTTTGGAAGGGCAAGTAGGTATTTCTGCATTTCCTACATTCAGAATCCACTTGGTCTCCTTAATTAACCGGAAGTGACCAGCCCTGAAACAACAGAATCTGTCCATTTCAATCAAAGCTTCTGTTGAGAATCACAAATTTGCGCTTTCCAGTGTTTGGCAAAAAGCAGGGCTAAGATGTTTTAATATAGAACTTCACAATATATGCAGGATTTACAACCAAAAAGTTTTATAATAAAGCTTAAAAAAATCCAACATAGACTCCTACAAACCTTTGATGATGATATCTCACTGTTCCTCGAACTGCTCACAGACCCAGTGACCACTCTACTTTGGTTTTCAGCATCTTTTTGTGTTGATGTGACATCCACTTTTCCAACAGTAGAAAGAGAAGGCAAAAGACGAGGAGGAGTCTCTTGGAACTTCCATAATTAACAAAGAGAGGGAGATTATCAGTGTCACATACATCTACCTCCAAAGGTCCCCCATCGGTAAATCTATGTATTTGTCAGTGATTCCCTCTCAAAAACTTTAAAACATTGCATTTGGGCGGGGGGGCAGGGGGCGGAGGGGAAGAAACTCTGCCAAAAGTGAATGACCACTTAAGAAGCTTATAGAGAGGGTGCCTGTGAAAGTTACTTCCAGAAATGAGGGGTTGCCACGATCTTATGCAGAAGTTGAGGGCGAAACTGTTCATTAATATGACATAAGAGGAATCAGAGATTTACCTTTTTTGGCCTGTTCCTTTAACTCTCAAAATGAGCTGTCCATCCTTGCTGGAGAAGATAAAACCCTACTCTGCTTCCAACTCACTGACATTTGATAACTAATATTTAGCATTTCTACCCTTCTTTATATGTTCCTTGCATTATGTATGTGCCTTTTTAGCACATCATTCTAAATAGAAATGAAGTTTCCTAAAGTCTGTTTCCCAAGCAGCAGCACAATGACTTATTCCAAAGAGATCTCTGCTGACCTGTCTCTTTTCCTCACTATGCTCAGTATGTTCTCTTTTCTTCTGCCGCCGCTGTTGAGACAGGAAAGGTTCAGACCCAGAGCTGTGTGGCTGTAAAGCTGGGTGGATTCTGTCCTGTTTTTCTATAACACATTCACCAGCAACTTGATCCTTAAAAATAATAAAATGAAACAAACAAAATAGAATAATGAAACAGTCTTTTGAACTTCCAAATAGCCAAACCTGCCATATCTACTTCTAAAATTATAAATGAAAGAAGGAGGAGCTGTCTTTTTCAAAATGAATGCTTATTTTCAGTGTTGACAGGCAAAGACACAATGATGGCATCAGTTATCTACATATTCTGGGTTTTCTTCTCTTTTCCCAAATAAAAATAATTATTTTAATTAAATTACTCAGATTGCTATTAACCTGAAACTACCAATGTTCCTTTAGTTTTTTAAAAATCTTTTTATAACTTTTAATAGGTTTGCAATTCAGAAAACTAACAAATGTTTTAAATGAAATCCAATTTAATATACACATACTTCCCAAGTAAACATTAGTTATTTGGATGCCCTCTAAAAAGCACCATGAAAAGATCACGAGCTTGGATTCAGATGGAGTCATATCTCCCTGAACCTCTGTTTCCTTATCTATAAATGGGTATAATGCGTCACACCCATCATGTGACTACTGGAGGATTAGAGGAGGTTGTGCACTATAGTACTTAAGACCACATCTAGGACATATTAGATGCTCAGAAACCAGGAGCTATTACTAGCAGTAGTAAAGATAAAATAAGTTAACTTTTAAATTATGAAGATCACCAAGGACTTAGTGTTTTATTTGGATAGCTGGTTTTAGAAACTAATGCACACCAAACATGAAAATAAAATAGCTTCTTACATTAATTTTTTTTTTTTTTTTTTTTTGCGGTACACGGGCCTCTCACTGTTGTAGCCTCTCCCGTTGCGGAGCACAGGCTCCGGACGCGCAGGCTCAGCGGCCATGGCTCACAGGCCCAGCCGCTCCGCAGCATGTGGGATCTTCCAGACCAGGGCACGAACCTGTGTCCCCTGCATCGGCAGGTGGACTCTCAACCACTGCACCACCAGGGAAGCCCAATCAACACATTTTTATCAAGAGCCCACTATGTGGTACATTTTAGAAAAAGGAACAGTGTGATATGCTAGCTATGCAAGGATACCCAGATAATAAACAGTAACTGATTTAATTCTGAAGAGTGAAATAAATGTTTCTCTGCTGGTATTAAGTATAGAATATTCAAAATAAAGCTTATACATATAAGAGTACCTGAACAAATGACTTAAGGAGTTTCTCCATGAAATCCAATTGGTCCTAAAAAAAGTTCTTCCACTTTTATCAACAACAAAATAACAATAACAACAACAAAGAAATGCTAGACATGAAATTCTATCAAAAAAACAAAAAAATCTACTCTAAAAGCCTGATGTAAGAAACATATTTGATCAGGTACAAGACAGGGATGTCCATTCTTATCACTCCTATTCAACACTGTACTAGAGGTTCTAGCCAGGGCAATCAGACAAGAAAAAATAAATAAATAAAAGAAATCCAGATTGAAAAGGAAAAATCTCTATTTGCAGATGATGTGATACTGTATTCAGAAAATTCTAAGGAGTCCATTATTAAAAAGTTATTAGAACCAATAAATGAGTTAAGTAAGGCTGTAGGATATAAAGACAATATATAAAAATTAATTGTATTTCTATACACAAGCAATGAACACTATGAAAATCATTCCATTTACAATAGTATCAGAAGGAACAAAATACTTAAATTTATTTCTTTACTTTTGGCTGCGTTGGGTCTTCGTTGCTGCGCACACTTTCTCTAGTTGTGGCAAGCAGGGGCTACTCTTTGTTGCAGTGTGCAGGCTTCTCACTGCAGTGGCTTCTCTTGTTGTGGAGCATGGGTTCTAGGCACGCAGGCTTCCGTAGCTGTGGTGCACGGGCTTAGTTGCTCCACGGCATGTGGGACCTTCCCCGCCCAGGGCTCAAACCCATGTCCCCTGCACTGGTAGGCAGATTCTTAACCACTGCGCCACAAGGGAAGCCAATGGAACAAAATACTTAGAAATGAATTTAACAAAAGAAGTGCAAGACTTATACACTTAAAACAACAAAACATCATTGTAAGAAACTGAAGAAGACCTAAAGAAAATAGAAAGATATCCTATGTTCATGAGTTGGAAGATACATATTGAGATAGCAATAATCTGCAAATAATCTACAGATTCAATAAAATCCCTGTCAAAACCCCAGGCTTTTTTGCAGAAATTGACAAGCTAATCTTAAAATTCATATGGAAATGCAAAGGACCCCATATAGCCAAAACAGTATTGAAAATTAAGAATAAAGTTGGAAGACTTCCCGATTTCAAAACTTACTACAGTGAATTCCCTAGTGGCCTAGTGGTTAGGATTTCGGATTTCCACTGCTGTGGCCCGGATGCAATCCCTAGTCAGGGAACTGAGATCCTGTAAGCCGCACAGCATGGCCAAAAAAAAAAAAAAAAAAACACTTACTATAAACCTACAGTAATTGTGTTACTGACATACGGATAGAAAAATCAGTGGTACAGAATTGAGAGTATAAAATTAAATGATCATATTTAGGGTCTACTGATTTTCAATGAGGGTCCCAAGAAAATTCAATGGGAAAAGAATAATCTTTTAACAAATGGTACTGGGACAAGTGGATATCTACATACAAAAGAATGAAGTAGAACCCTTTCTTCACATCACACACAAAAATTAACTCAAAATAGATCTCAGACCTAAATGTAAGAGTTAAAATTATGAACTCTTAAAAGAAATTATGGGAGAAATCTTCATGACACTAAAAGCAGAAGCAACAAAAGAAAAAATAGACAAAACTAGATTTCATCAAATTTTAAAACTTTTATGCTCCAAAGGACACCATCAAGAAAGTGAAGATGGGGGACTTCCCTGGGGGTCCAGTGGTAAAGAATCCACCTTCCAATGCAGGGGACGCAGGTTCAATCCCTGGTTGGGGAACTAAGATCCCACATGCTGTGGGGCAACTACGCCTGCGCACCACAACTACTGAGCTTGCACGCCTCAACGAGAGAGCCCACATGCTGCAAACTACAGAGCCCACGCTTTCTGGAGCCTACACACCCTAGAGCCCATGTGCCACAACTAGAGAGAAGACTGCGCGCCACAACGAAAGATGCCGCACGCCTCAACGAAGGCCCCGCGTGCTGCAACTAAGACCCAACGCAGCCAAAAAAGTAATAAAGAAAAAATAAATAAATAATAAAAAAATGAAAGTGAAGATGAGACTTCCCTGGTGGTCCAGTGGTTAAGACTCTGCACTTCCACTGCAGGGGGCACAGGTTCGATCCCTGGTCAGGGAACTAAGATCCCACATGCTGCATGGTGCAGTCAAAATAAAATAAAATAAAATATACTTTAAAAAGAAAGTGAAGACAATCCATAGAATGGGAGACAGTATTTTTGAATCTTATATCTGATAGGGGACTGACATTTGTAACTGATAAAGAACTCCTACTACTCAACAATAAAAAGATAAATAAACCAATTTAAAAATGGGCAAAGGATTTGAATAGATATTTCTCCAAAGTAGGTATAAAAATGGCCAATAAGCCATGAAAAGATGCTCAACAACATTAGTCATTAGGGAGGTGCAAATCAAAGCCACAATAAGATACCACTTCCAGGATGGCTAGAATCAAAAACAAAACAAAACAAAACAAAAAACACAGAAAATAAGTGTTGGTGAGGATGTGGAGAAATTAAAACTCTCATACATTGCTGATGGGAAGTAAAATGATATAGTTGCTTTGGAAAACAGTTCTGCAGTTCCTCAGAAAGTTAAACATAGGGCTTCCCTGGTGGCACAGTGGTTGAGAGTCCGCCTGCCAATGCAGGGGACACGGGTTCGTGCCCTGGTCTGGGAACATCCCACATGCCGTGGAGTGGCTGGGCCAGTGAGCCATGGCTGCTGAGCCTGCGCGTCCAGAGCCTGTGCTCCGCAATGGGAGAGGCCACAACAGTGAGAGGCCTGCATACCGCAAAAAAAAAAAAAAAAAAAAGTTAAACATAGAGTCACCATATGATCCAGCAATTCCACTCCTAGGTATATACCCAAGAGAACTGAAAACATATGTCCACACAAAAACTTGTACATGAATGTTCAAAGCAACTTTATCCACAGTGAAAAGTGAAAACAACTCAAATGTTCATCAACTGATGAATAAATAAAATATGAAATATACATACGGTAGAATTTATTTGGCAATAAAAAGAAATGAAATACTGGTACAGGCTACAACATGGATATAACCTTGAAAGCATTATGCTAAATAAAAGAAGCCAGATACAAAAGGCCATATCTGTATGATTCCATTTATATGAAATATTGAGAATAGGCAAATTCATACAGACAATGGTTGCCAAGGGCTAGAGACAAGGAGGAATGGAGAGTGACTAGTATTGAGTATGGGGTTTCTTTTTGAGGTGATGGAAATGTTCTAGAAACAGATAATAGCAGTGAATGTACAACTTTATAAATATACTAAAAACCACTGAATTGGCACTTTAAAATTTTTTTAAATAGTTATGGAAAAACATAAAAGAAGCGAACTTGAATATAATTTGACAGTCAAGCAGAACAAGCAGGACATATATAATTTTATCTATAAAGTACTAAGGATTCCAGTGTCCAGAGAATGCTTAAGACTAAATTTTGGTTTCAATTCAATGAGTTTAAATGAAAAGAGCATAATACTTGTACGTTTCTATAAAAACAAAACCTTATTAAAAACACTTGAGGGACTTCCCTGGTGGCACAGTGGTTAAGAATCCGCCTGCCAATGCAGGGGACACAGGTTCAAACCCTGGTCTGGGAAGATCCCACACGCCGTGGAGCAACTAAGCCCGTGCGCCACAACTACTGAGCCTGTGCACTAGAGCCCACGAGCCACAACTACTGAGCCCACGTACCACAACTACTGAAATCTGCGTGCCTAGAGCCCGTGCTCCGCAACAAGAGAACCCACCACAATGAGAAGCCCGTGCACCACAATGAAGAGTAGCCCCTGCTCACTGCAACTAGAGAAAGCCCACACGCAGCAACAAAGACCCAAACAGCCATAAATAAAATAAATAAATAAAAACATTTGACTACAGACATATAAAATAGTTATATATATTTATATAAAAGTGTTAAATATGAAAATGTATGTAATATATAAACTTTAAATATATATAGATTATAAAAATATAGTCAATATATATATTAAATATATTCTTTAAATATTTTACAAATAAAAATGTGAAGTTAATCAAATGTTCTGGCTTTCTAATCCTTAGCTATTACCATGCTTCATCTAATTTAGGCTTCTTTCCATGTTCAAGTAGAAGATACCCTTTAAATTTACTCAGAATAGTCTCTCAGTATCAAAATCCTTTTGTTCCGTTCCTTTTCTTCTCTTCTTCCTTCTCCTTTGGTTCCAACACATAAAATATGTTTTTTTAATTCCTTAACTTAAAAAATCAGACAAATCCACTAACTTTTAAAAGCAAGAAGGAATGTGATATTACCTAATTGTTGGAACTGTCCATTGACTTGCAGGACTTACAAAAGAATGATGTAGAAATAGGAAAAAACACACTAATGGCAAATGGCAAGTACCCTACACCAGGGCACAGAAAGGATCTAAGAATTCCTTGGGTCCTATCCTTTGGTTCTGTCATGTTTAAACTGTTATATGGGAACAACTGATTTTCCTAAAACCACAACTAAAAGCACAACCAAAGAACACAACCCACACCTTTGTAACCACACTTTCCAGTCTTCTTTCTGAAACCAATACCTCGTGCATGTCACTCACCTGGTCCTTTGATAAATTTTGGTCTTTGTTTAGGAGCTGCAGAGGCTTCACTGGGTCATTCCTTTCTCCAGTGACATAGTCAATGGACCATGTGGAAATTCGGTTTCCAGGTTGAGCACTGGATTTAGTGTTATCCTGCAGCCTCTCTTTCACTTGAGAAATAATACATTTACCTTCTAGCTCATTAGAGGCATCTAAGTGTCTTTGTTGATTCTCTTGAACTAAGCTGTTGTTCACTGAGTTCCTCCTTTCTGCAGGTAAGATGTCAATATTCACCCTACTGATCGTAGCTAGCGATTCTGCGGTATTGCTTATGTCTGGTTTGTAGGTGTGGCCTTTCAGACGTGGGGGTGTCTTCAAGGCGCCAATGACTATGGGTTTCTCCTGGGACAAATATTTGTCTTCACCCTGAATGAAAACATGCTTCCAAGTTATTATAGCACTCCTCACACCATATTAGAAAATTAACTCAAGGGGCTTCCCTGGTGGCGCAGTGGTTGGGAGTCTGCCTGCCGATGCAGGGGACACGGGTTCGTGCCCCGGTCCGGAAGGATCCCACATGCCGCAGAGCGGCTAGGCCCATGAGCCATGGCTGCTGAGCCTGCGCGTCCGGAGCCTGTGCTCAGCAACGGGAGAGGCCACAGCAGTGAGAGGCCCGCATACCGCAAAAAAAAAAAATGGAATAGCAGTTTCCTCAGAAAGTTAAACATGGAATAATCATAAGACCCAACAATCCCACTCCCAGGTATTTGTCCCAAGAACTAAAAGTAGGGACTCAGATATTTGTACACTAATGTTTATAGCAGCATTATTTACAACGGCCAGAAGATGGAAACAACCCAAATGTCCATCAGCAGATGAATGGATAAACAAAATGTGGTATATACATACAGCAGAATATTATAAAGCCATAGAAAGGAATGAAATTCTGATACATGCTACAATATGGATAATGTTTGAAAACTTGCTAAGTGAAATAAGCTAGACACAAAAGAACAAATGTTGTATGATTCCATTTATATGAGGTATCTAGAACAGGCAAATTCAGAGAAAGTAGATCAGAGGTTACCAGGGTCTGGGAGTAGAGGCAATGGGGAGTTAGACTTTAATGGGTACAGAATTTCTGTTTGGAACGATGAAAAGGTTTTGGAAGATATGGTGATGGCTGCACAACATTGTGAATGTAATTAAGGCCACGGAATTGTATGCTTAAAAATGGTACAAAATGAAAATAATTAATTAATTAAAAAATGGTACAAAATGGCAAATTTTATATTACTTATATTTTACCATAATAAAATTTTTTTAATGGATCAATAACCTAAATATAAGAGCTAAAACTATAAAAATCCTAGGAGAAAACATAGGCATACATCTTCATGACCTTGGATTTGGCAAGGGATTCTTAGATATGAGCATGGGCAACAAAAGTAAAAAACAAATAAATTAGACTTCATCAAAATTAAAAACATTTGTGCATAAAAGGACGTTATCAAGAAAGTGAAAGGACAACCTAAAGAACGGGAGGAAATATTTGTAAGTCATATATCTGATGAGGGTCTAGTATCTATAATATAGAAAGAACTCTTAGAACTCAATAATAAAAAACAAAAAACCCAATTAAAAAATGGGCAACAGGCTTAATAGATATTTCTCCAAAGAAGGCATTCAAATGGCCAACAAGTTCTATGTCATTAGTCAAATGCAAATCAGAACTACAATAACATACCACTCCACATCCACTAGGATGGCTAGAATCAGAAAAACAGAAAATAACAAGAGTTGGTGAAGTTGTAGAGAAACTGGAATTCTCAGGGATTGCTGATAAAAACATGAAATGGTGCAACCACAAAGGAAAAACAATGTGGTCATTCCTCAAAAAGTTAAACATAGAATTACCATATGACTCAGCAATTACTCTCCTAGATATTATACCCAAGAGAACTGAAAACAGATACTCAAACATTGTACATAAATGTTCATAGCAAAAGCCAAAAGGTGAAAACAACCCAATATCTACCAATGAATGAATGGATAAACAAACTGTATTGGAGTATTATTTAGACATAAAAATAAATGAAGTATTGATATACGCTACCTGGATGAACCTCAAAAACATGCTAAGTGAAAGAAGCCAGACACAAAACGTTACATATTGTATGATTCCATTTATATCAAATATTCAGAATAGGCAAACCCATACAAACAGAGAACACTGGTGTTTTACAGGGGCTGGATGGAGGAGGAGTGACGACCTAATGGGTATGAGGTTTCCTTTTGGGGTGATGAAAATGTTTTGGAATGAGATAGAGGTGACGGTTGCACAATACTGTGAATATACTAAATGCAATTAATTGTTCACTTTAAAATGGTTAACTTTATGTTATATAAATTCCACCTCAATTAAAAAAAACTTCTTAAAGTTATTACAGCACTGACTTCATGAACATTTTAATAGGCACTTTGAATACTTCACCAGTATTCCTTCTTTACAATACAAAACTACTTATACAACAGAAATCTAATGAAGCTTAGTCATTTCACATAGAATAACTAGCTTAGGTAACCTATCATTTTAATACAGTTTCTAGAATACATATCCTTTAGAATGAGACGTACCATTACATATGTCTTGGAGCCCTCAGAAGAGTGTGGTTGAGGGGGAACGGCTTCATGACTTAATTCAGCCTTTCCAGAAACCACTGTAGCCACAGGCTTGGATTTAGAGTCATCATTTTTAATATTATTTTTGGAGTTTTTTCTTTATGAGGAAGAAAAGAAGAAAAAGTTATTATCAATACAGTGAAGGTTAAAGGTTTCTATATATATGAGGAAATGTGCATACATGTTACACTCCCTCTTAGAACGGCTTGTTTTATTTCTTTCTTTCTTTTCTTTTCTTTTTTTTTTTTCTTTTTTGGCTGTGCCATGTGGCTTGTGGGATCTTAGTTCCCTGACCAGGGATTGAACCCGGGCCCCCTGCAGTGGAAGCGTGGAGTCCTAACCACTGGACTGCCAGGGAATTCCCATAGAACTGCTCCTTTTATAGATAGGAGTCTTCTAAAAACCAGTGGGTGTTCTACAAAACATTTGACCAGTAATCTCCAAAAACAATCAAGGTCATGAAAAACAAAGAAAGTTGAGAAACTGTCAGAGACCCAAGTTGACTAAGGAGAAATGAGGAGTAATATGGTATGCTGGACTGGATCCTGAAGCAGAAAAAGGACACTAGTAGAAAAACTGGTGTAAGCCAAGTGAAGTCTGGATTTAGTCAACATAAGATGCTGATGTTGTTTTCTTAGTTCTGACAAATGTACCATGGTAACATAAGATGCTGATAGGAGAAACTGGGTGAGGGTTATACAGAAACTCTGTTCTATCTCTGCAACTCTTCTGTAAATACAATATTATTCTAAAATTTAAAACCTATGAAAACTTGCCTCACAATTAGAAGTGCCAGGATAATTTTCATCTTCAAGTTTCACATTTGTAATAATACCACAACTGCTTTGCCAAATTTGAAAGTAAAAATGATTGGTATACTTGGCCTTGACTTGCAGAATAAATGTATACAGGGATAATATCCCCAACTGTTTAAGTGTGAAATTTTCCAATGCAGCTAAACCTCTGGAGAATTCAAGGGGAGCATGAAGACCAGAGCTGCAGAAAGCCAAAGGTCTGTAGGTAGGAAATTATAGGCAATGTAAACAAAAATATGACCCTTCTTTATCCCCCAGGGCCTCTCTAGCATTGCCTCCCAAATTTAACATGTCAAAAGACAAGGACTGTGAAGGTCTTGTCCAGCTCTAAGTCTCAGATCCTAGAACAGCTATTTATGGAGGTAGGACCTGAAAGTCAAAGAAGGAATTCTATCCCCTTGAGAAGTTATATGAGTAAAGAGGGAACCTCTTTATTTTTTAAATGTGACTATTATCTTACACAGTACATAATGTAACAATAGGCTTCTTAGATGACCTCTCATTTTAATATGATTTCTAAAACCTACATCCTTGGGCTTCCCTGGTGGCGCAGTGGTTAAGAGTCCGCCTGCTGATGCAGGGGACACGGGTTCGTGCCCCGGTCCGGGAAGATCCCACATGCTGTGGAGTGGCTAGGCCCGTGAGCCACGGCCGCTAACCCTGCGCGTCCGGAGCCTGTGCTCCGCAACGGGAGAGGCCACAACAGTGAGAGGCCCGCGTACCGCAAAAAAATAAATAAATAAATAAAAAATAAAACATACATCCTTTTAAAAGGATCGTACTCAATATGTCTTGGAACTCTCAGAGGAATGTGAAAGTGATTACTCCAATGGTTCTCTAGATTTTTGATTTTAGCAATTAAGCAAATCTCAACACTTGTTCTAATCATGCAATTCTACTTCATGTTTTTAAAAAACTCACCATAAACTCTCATACATGAAAATTATAAAAGCCACCCTCTTTTATTCCATCTATTTAGCTGACATATTTGCAAGGGAAATATCTTACGCCTTCGTGGCCTCCAAAAACAAGGATATTTGGCGCTTTATGTAAGGCTGCCTTAGGATGCTCCTCACAGAAGGTCTTTCTTCAGGCCTTTTGCTCAGCATGGTTCTTATTATTTCTGCCAGCTCTGGGCTGTAATCTTTCGGCATTGGTGGCAGCTACAAAGAGAAATAATACCATAAGTATGACTAACAGTCTTGTGAAAAGTAAAAGAAGGTAGAGGTTTCCCAAGATATATTTTTTAAATCATTATCCACAGCAGAAAATAACCAGCATATTAGTCTACAGGAAGCGTATCTGGCATCCTGGTTATAATAGCAAGTTGTAAAATTATAAAATATATCCTTCAAACCAGCAGTCCCATTTGAGGACCCTCTCCTTCATAAATAAGAGCATGAGTTCCTAAAGATTTATGTACCAGGATATTCACTGCAGTATTGTTCTTATAATAGTGAACAACTAGAAACAATGTAAATGGCCATTCATAGGGTACTTGTGGAATAGAGTATGGTATACCCTTCTAATAAAATACCAGGCAGCCTTTAAAAAAATACAAGACTTACAGGTACTGACCTGGAAAGATGTCCCTCATTTATTAAGTCAAAAAAGCACGTTGTGTACCAGTGTGTATAGCCTGATTCCATTTCAGTTACTTTTTTAACATACACACCCAGAGTTATAAAGACAGGGAAAAGCCAGGAAGGCTATGCACCAAATCATTACCAATGGTTATCTCCAAGGGATGGAAATGGATGGAAACAGGGGAATTTCACCTCTTTCTTGTTTGATTCTTTAAGAAGTGGAATTATGAGCAAATTTTACTTTTTCTGTGTTTTTTTCAAATTAAAAAAATAAATGAGTCTTGGTATAATGTTAAAATCAGTAGGTGATTTACAGCCTTAAAACTTAACGGTGTGAGGATGCCTGACACTGCAGGGGGCAACTAGCCTCATAAAATTGACACATAAAGTTGGTCACTCTAGCATCTATCATACATAATGCTTTCTGCAATTTTTAACTGGTTACTAGTGACTGTGATGATTATCAAAGGAGCAAGAAGTTCAAACAGAGTAGACTTTTTTTAAATAAATCTTTATTTTATTTATTTATTTTTGGCTGTGTTGGGTCTTCGTTGCTGCACGTGAGCCTTCTCTAGTTGCAGTGAGCGGGGGCTACTCTTCATTGTGGTGCGCGGGCTTCTCATTGTTGTGGCTTCTCTTGTTGCACAGCACGGGCTCTAGGTGCGCGGGCCTCAGTAGCTGTGGCTCGCGGGCTCTAGAGCACAGGCTCAGTAGTTGTGGCGCACGGGCTTAGTTGCTCCGTGGCATGTGGGATCTTCCCAGACCAGGGCTCGAACCCGTGTCCCTTGCATTGACAGGCGGATTCTTAACCACTGCGCCACCAGGGAAGTCCAAACAGAGTAGACTCCTTTTAAACAGGGCTCATTTAACCGCTTAGGTGAAGCTACCAGTAGCCTCAGGGCACCTGCACATCCTGTGTCTATAAGGTACTGGTTTTCAAGAAGCCAATTCTTCAGAGCCATTAAGCCACCCTTATAAATTAATATTAAGAAACGATCAATCCCTTCTCCTCCAGTTCAACCCTCCCCACAGACAGGACCCATCATTCTTAACTATCCACCCAATATGATTACTCCCTTTTCTCAGTAGCTACTTTCAAAGCTGCACTAAAGTAACCTTGCTCCAAATATTAATATTAATTCCAGAATATTCTTTACCTTTCCTTCAATAATCCGATAAACTAAAGAATTCATGTCTTTTGCATTGAAAGCATGCTTCAGGGTGGCCATTTCATAAACACAGCATCCCAGAGCCCAAACATCAGACTAGGAAAAAAAAATAGTAAATGGTTAAATGTCAGAATGCCTTATTTACAGTTTTCCTCTTAAAAAAAAGAAACATTTTCCTTAAACCAATTCACAGAGAATTCTTCTAACTTACTATTCTGATGGGTTCTAAAATTATACTGCTGTAGAGACAAGGTGAGCTGGCAAACACAGCCGAATCCTACCTTATAGTTGTAGGGTTTGTTTGAGAACAATTCAGGGCTCATGTAGTAGGGTGTGCCAATGAGGGTGCTAGCCATGTCACAGTGGTTCTCAAGCACTCGGGCAATTCCTAGGTCACCCACTTTGATGATGTTTTTTCTTGTTAGGAAGACATTTTGAGTTTTTAGATCTCGGTGAAGGATGTGTTTTTCATGTAAATACTGAAGAAAAATAAAATTTTATTAAATATAAATATTTAATACCTGACTTATTTATACCTGACTTCTTATATACCATCAACAACTGTATAAGTTAAAGAGTCTTATACTCTTAGATGAGCCTTACCTACACATCAAAACACTATTGTTTTATAATCTCTAAATAAAAAGTCTAATTTACAACTTTCCAAAGTAAGAAATTAAGTTCCATGCATTAATTTTCCCAGCTTCCTTCACAATTGTTCCCTGGTGACTTGACAATCATACCGTCTAGAATTATATGGACCCAGTTAAAAAATGTGCTTACAAACTTTCACTGAAGGTAGAAAGACAACTTATACAAGGTCAGATGCACATTCCTCTCAGACTCATGAAATCTTCAGCTTAATAATATTTTCAACTATAACAATATCACTTTTTTTTTTAATATCACTTTTATTGTTTAAATCCTAAGATACATTCTCTAATATCAGAGTGATATTCCATAAACAGTCTCACTTTTGAATATGTGTATATTAAAACACAAACATGTTTCACATTTCTACTCACTCTGCCACAGCAGGGTTAAAGCCCAAAGCCCCACAGTTTAGGCAGATTAATTAGCCCAACCACCTTTCAGTATGATGCAGCTGACCAACTGATAACAAACATGGTCATTCTTTGCTCTTTGTCAGTTCAGGGCCTTAAAATGGATTTTGCTATAAATATTAAATGAATAGAGAATTGTCTTTCCCAGCAATCAGACAAAATCCATGTCTGCTTCAATACAGATATCACTCATTCAGAAACACTTCAGTGCTACAGCAAGAGGAACTAGGTCCACTTCATAAATGGATTTTTAAAAGAATTTTTTTTTCATTAAGCATTTGGGGAAGCATTTTCCTAAAATCCACCAAGCATCTCTCTGTCACCTTGGAGCAAGTGGGATGCTATGAGTCCTGACAGTACCTGCAGAGCCATAGCGATCTGAACAAACCATTCCACCACCTGACTCTCGGACAGAAGCCTCCCCTTCTGCTCTTTGAGCTTTCGGTACAGATCACCTCCTTCGCAGAAGCCCATGACGATGTACAGCAGACCATCCCCTCCCTCCCACGACTCCTTGTAGGTGACAATATTGGGATGCTTCAACTGAGACAAGAGCTGAGCTTCCTGTTCAGCAGCTTGCCGCTCTCGGCTGGAGGCATTTCGGAGGTTCAGCTTTTTGATGACATACTACAAAAAAAACACATGTTTTTACAATATGCAAACAAACATACAGTATTATAGATTCAAAAGTATTTAAGGATTATCCTGAGTGTCCTCAAAACCAACCTTCTGGAGACTGCCACATAACCTATTCATTTTGTTATTCACAAAGCACAAAACTGGGAAAAAGACTTGTTACCACTAATGATACTTTTTACAAGTTAGATTTATAGCAGGGTAGGGGGTCACAAAAAAATTATACTTTCCATCTGCATTTTACAATTTCATTAATGGCTAAAAATGAGTCAATGTTAACATACCACTGATTAACCAAAAAATCTGTGGTAGAGATTCTTTAACCTCTAAGCTCCCCCTACAAAGGTGCATGCAATATGACTTGAATATACATCTGCAGACAGAATGGGTCTGTGGATTCCATTGCATACTCAAAGGGATCCAAGGCCCAATAAGGCTAAACATCACCTATCCTCAACATCCAAAATTATTCTCACTTAAAAAAAAACAAAACAACGTCCTCCAACACCTAATACATTGCCCTCAACTGACACACCAAACAATTCATTATTCAACAAACACAATCATAAATGTGTTTTGTAACAAAGCATAAATGTGCTTTGTAAAATGTAAACAAACTACCGCTGAAATGTGAGGGGTTATTATTACAGCTAGTACCCCATCCTCAGCTCAAAAAAATCCCCCCTCCCCATTGACCACTGAATAAATCTCTTATGTCTGAGCTTGTGTTCCAGGCAGTGACCAGCACCTGAGACAAGGCAGAAGAGGCGAGAGGACCTTATATTTATGGGGCCATCTCCTCTCAGTTTGTCTGGGGCAGTCCCATTGTCCTGGTGTCTCCTTTCAGTTTCCAAATTGTCCCAGTTTGTACATTATATGGTTTATAAACCATATTTACGAAATGGTTCATTATCCTGAGGCTAATGGGATAAAGCGCAACATTAGAGGCACGTTTTAGAAAGATCACTGAGACTGCAATGAAAGTGATGAACTGGAGAAGGGCAAGTCATGTGGCAGGGAGGACAAGCGGGAGGCCATGGCCACAGCTTAGCTAGAGACAATGATGTCCTGGATGGGGGAGGTACCCATGGAGATGAAGAAGAGGCCAGTTGGCTTAGTGGACAGACGAATAAGGGGGTGGGAGTGGGGGAAGGTAAGGGGGGGAGCCCAGAACGACTCCCAGGTGTCCAGCTTGGGCAACTGGCTGGTTGGTGATGCTACTCCCTGAAATGGGGACCGTGAGAGGAGGTCTGGAGGGAAGGTGACGAGCTGAGTTTTGAGCGAGTCCAGAGGTTTCCAGGTCAGACGGGGTATGGGGCCCTTCACTGAAGGAGAAATACTTGCCAGGCGCCGCCGTTAGGTCCTGGGAGTGTACGTTCTCATGGAACTGTCGAGAGTTGGGGGAAAGTGTGCAGATTAAGCACACCGATTACGACTACAAAGAGAATGCCAGGGAGTTCGGGGCGCATATGACAGGAAGGCCTGGCCTAGTCTTGATGGTCTGGGACGATTTCCCAGAAGAAGTGCCATCTGAGGCGCGTCCCCTTCAGAATATCTGGGCCCAGCCCTTGGACGGCGCCCTCGGCGAACCCCTGCCTGCTCCCATCCCCTGCCGGGCCCCAGCTCCGCCGACCTGCCTGCCGTCCCGTCGGTGCCTCACGAGCGTCACCTCCCCGTAGCTGCCCCTGCCCACGACACGCAGGTAGCAGTAGGCGGTCAGGGGCATGATCCCGGAGCGGGCCCACAGTCGGGATGCGGCGGCAGCGGCGGGGGGCGCGGCGAGCGGCGGCGGGAGACCCCGCTCATTCCAGCGAGTAAGTGGTGCCGGCGGCGCCTGAGGCGGCCCTGCCAGGGCGCCAGCGCAGAGGCCCGACCCAGCGCGACGCCGCTGCCATAGCGATCCCCACAGGCGCTGCCCTGCGCATGCTCCGTGGCCCGGAGGACCCACCACAGAGCCGAGGCGACAGGCGGCCAGAGCGACCACGCCGGGCCTGCGCGCGCACCCTCGGCCTCACTTCCAAGGCCGGAACTTGCGGGTTTCCCGCAACAATAGACTCATGAACGCTTCCACTTACTGAGTGCTTAGTTGTTCTTAGTGCTTCGCACGTATTCGCTTCCCAAATATTTACTGGCTGCTTACCCTGTGCCTGGCTGAAAAAGTCCCTGCCCTCCGGGAGCTCACATTCTAATGGGGGACTGGGGACAGACTAGATTCTACAGGTAACATTTGTTATATTTACTTTATCATATGGTGGTTAATGTATGCATGCAGCAATCCATCTTATTTTTCATGCATTGCAAGACAAATTGAAGATATCAGTGCACTTCACCCCTAAACAATTCATCTTGCATATTGAGAACTGCAAAAACTCTCAGAAGGACTCCATTCAAACCCCTGCACTAAGTGACTTAACCAAATTTTGGCATGGTTTTTAACAGCTTAAGGCAGTGTCCCCGGAGAACCTGCCCACCTTAAATGGCCTGCCTGTGAAAGCTCAAAACTGCCAAAAGATTTATCGTTTGATCCAGCCAACACCTCCCTTTCCTAGGACATATACCTAAAAAGCTTAAAATTATAAATCCAATGGGGCGGGGGTGGGGGGGTTGTATTCCTACAACCCCAGAATGTCTTTCTTAAGGTCATGAAATCCATCCCATTGAAATGTAAGGTTTCTTGGCCTATATCCAAGAACCAATTTTTGCCCGGTTTGGGGGGGGGTGGAGTTGAGAATGCATAATATAGCGCATACTATTGGGGTTTTTTAAATATAAATTTATTTTTATTTATTTATTTTTGGCTGCATTGGGTCTTTGTTGCTACGCGGGCTTTCTCTAGTTATGGCAAGCAGGGGCTTCTCATTGCAGTAGCTTCTCTTGTTGCGGAGCACGGGCTCTAGATGCGTGGGCTTCAGTACTTGTGGCACACGGGCTCAGTCGCTGTGGCTCACGGGGTCTAGAGCGCAGGCTCAGTAGCTGTGGCACATGGGCTTAGTTGCTCTGCGGCATGTGGGATCTTACCAGACCAGGGATCAAACCTGTGTCCCCTGCACTGGCAGGTGGATTCTTAACCACTGCACCACCAGGGAAATCCATCTACTTTCTTTACCTACTTTTCATACACAGTTGTTTCCTTTCACCCTTATTATTTCTAAGTAGTTTCAATTACATATCTTAATTAGAATTCTTAACCCTTAGAATCCTTAATTTCTAGCGAAAACTAAGAAGTGAGTAATCGTGGACAGTCTCTTACACTAGCATTCTATGGATTGGCAGAGATAAATACATTCCATAATTTCTAGGAGTACATCTTCCTCATAGTAAATTTTCCAATGTAGCAGAAAAGATTTTTACTAACAGACCTAAATATATTTAGGGTCTTTTTTTTTTTTTGTATAAGGAAACCAAAAGTGGATTAACTTATGTTCAGTGATTAATGTTTCAGTATTTTATTTTATTTGAAAATGATTTAAATATTTAATAAATGTCCATTATTAACTTTAACTTATTTAAGTTAAATAATGGAAACTATTTAAGTAGACATGCCATAAAATAAAATAATTGCTGAAGTGTTTTACCTAAAGACTCTTTTTTGTGTGTGTGTGATACGCGGGCCTCTCACTGTTGTGGTCTCTCCCGTTGCGGAGCACAGGCTCCATACGCGCAGGCTCAGCGGCCATGGCTCACAGGCCCAGCCACTCCGCGGCATGTGGGATCTTCGCAGACCGGGGCACGAACCCGTGTCCCCTGCATCGGCAGGCGGACTCTCAACCACTGCGCCACCAGGGAAGCCCTACCTAAAGACTCCTATCCCATTTACGTCTATTTAATTCACTTGTTCTTTTTTTTAAAAAAAACTATTTATTTATTTTTGGCTGCGTTGGATCTTAGTTGCGGCAAACGGGATCTTTCATTGTGGGGTGCAGGCTTCTCTCTACTTGTGGCGCACAGGCTCCAGAGCACACAGGCTCTGTAGTTCCAGCACGTGGGCTTAGTTGCCCTGCGGCATGTGGGATCTTAGTTCTCCAACCAGGGATCGAACCAGCATCCCCTGCATTGCAAGACAGATTCTTAACCACTGGACCACCAGGGAAGTCCCAATTCACTTGTTCTTAACATGAAAATTTCATCATACCAAGTTGTTTTTCTTGCTAACAAATTTGGTAACAGAAACAACATGAACTTATTTAGCTAGTGTACTCAGGTGGAATAAAAGTTGTATGTCTTGGGCTTCCCTGGTGGCGCAGTGGTTGGGAGTCCGCCTGCCGATGGGGTGGACGCGGGTTCGTGCCCCGGTTCGGGAGGATCCCACGTGCTGCGGAGTGGCTGGGCCCGTGGGCCATGGCCGCTGAGCCTGCGTGTCCCGAGCCTGTGCTCCGCGGCGGGAGGGGCCACAGCGGAGGGAGGCCCGCGTACCGCAAAAAAAAAAAAAAAAAAAGATAAGTTGTATGTCTGCATTATTTTTAATGATAACTCTGAAGACATACCTATTTTAATTAAACCAACAAACTTAAACTAGCTTTTATTTACCAAAGATTACCTCAGATCACATGAACTTGAAAAACACTTGGGTTAGTTTTTATATTTCTGAGAGTTTTAGGAATCCTTAATTCATATAAGTGCTTGTGGACAGGGAATTTTGCCTGCCATTCCAGTGAACAATGTTGCCCACCATCCCAGTTCTACAAGGATGCAGCCGTTAGCTACAGCAGCCCACAGTGCTCCCTGAGGGTAATTCAGGATGAAAAACTGGAGGCATTCTGCACTTTGGATGTTGGCATTAGATAGTTAAGGTGCATTTCTAAGACATAATTTCTATGAACCCAGATTCTTGCACCTTCCCATATGTAGGAAAGCACTCCAATCATTGACCTGAGGCGTCTGTTCCTTGTGATTAGCAATAATCTTTTGATGTTCTGAGGCAGGAGATAGATGGGCTCCAGGTTAGACATTTACAGCCAGCCTCCTGTTTACACTTCCAGATAGAAATAACA